TACATCCATCCTATGACACCTGACTGTCCAGGAATTTTTTAGGAGTTTCTTCATTCTAATTTGTATGGCTTCAGAACAAGGGGAAAAATATGTGTTACTTAGTTTGTGCAGGAGTTCTCTCATCAGGGCTGATTGTGGCTGATAAAACCACAGGAATGGGGTTTGCAGTTATGCCAACACCTCGTGAAGTCCATCTCTTCAGTGGACACTGGTGGAAAGCTGCCTCTGGCACAGTAACTGCACCAGTGTTTTGCTTCATTTCAGTAAAACAGCAGTATTGCTCAGGGAGACAATGGTGACTGGCCCAGCTAGAGCTGACCACTGTGTTTGGTCGGGAACCAGCACAGACAGCAGACCATGGCTGTGCCCTCTGTGACTCCTTCCAGCACTGCAACGCATAATGTCACTGGAATCACACCAGGGAGGAGTGTGTCCCAAATAAGGCCTATTTCAGTCCCTAGGTAATTTGTAGCCATAGTCATTTGTACTATTATTTACTCAGGTTATTGATCTTTTAAGACCGGTAGCTGTATCTGGCCATGATTGACACAAGTGTCTTCATAGGCAGACAAGATAATGTAATGAAAGCAATAATACCAGCAGACAGTGGTAAAATAATGGGGGGGAAGGTGAGGGGGGAGGAAGTGGTGATTTTAGTTCTTTGTCTTCCAATAATCGCTGCACAGCTTGACATCTGATTTCTTTTACCTAATCTCAGCATGCATCTCAAAAATGCTACTGGCCATCAGATTATCCCAGTGGATCATTACATTTTCCTATCCTCTGGACTTAGGTATGCTGTGGATCTATCCAAGGATAATGAGCAGCCTGCTGTTGCACTCACCTGGTTGGGGTCAGGGTGTTTTATGAAAGCTTCCCACATATTCTCTTTAATGAATGAGTCCTTTCTATTTGTAGGAGAATACTCGAAGGGAAAAAGAAATAAATGACCTTCAGGGTTTTTTTTTTTTATGTGACCTTTAGGTTTTTTTGATGGGAAACATTCTTCAGATAAATTCTTAGTTATCAACAGGAAACTGCAATATGTGATCCCAAAGCCATGTACAATTAAGTTTTTATATATGTAATGCTATTTTCCTTCTATGGATTCTGTACAGTCGGGGTCAGAGATAAAGCTTCCAGCTGCAATTATCCAAACAGCTGGATTGTTTGTATTCATGGGCTAAACTGCTATTGCTTCTAGTGGCAAACTCAACATGGGTTGTAGCAGTACTAATGCTGTTTACTGACTCTAGGAAAGAAAACAAGTTTATCTGATCACAGATAAACTTACCTCCTCAGATAAACATTTAAATAAAAAAGCTTTCTCCTTCAAAATGAAAAGATACATTCCCTAACTTCCCTGGTGGCAGCCAGCTTTTCCTGCTCTTCCTTATGTGTTCATGTCCTTCCTTTGCTTTCCTATTCATTAATTCCCACAAATGGTTCCTTCAGCTCAAATAACAAGGCTCCAGACTGGTAGGATAGACTTGAGGACACTGAGGCTAAAAAACTTAAATGCTCAATTTCAGCAATTTGTGGCTTGCATTGCAAAGCCAGCAAGGCTGTGATGGGACCAGCTATTGGCGCAATGCTGCTTGTCTTGCTCTTCCCATCACGCAGGTCATGCACTGCCTGTGTCCTGGGCAGCATTAACAGGGGCACTCAGCTGCCACTGGAGTGCAGAGAGGAAGGACCTGATTTCTTTTCCCATGTTAGGTTTTCTCACCAAGGACTCACACAGCCATTCCAGTACAGCCCCAGATGATTAATGATGATTGGCATTGTCCCCAAAATTCTGATCACCGTGACTGCAGGTTCTGAACAGGCGCCAGACATTCAGATATTTCTCCTCCTGCCATGTGAACAAGAGGAGGTATTGGTATGGTATTCCCCTTGTGTAACAAATAGGGAGTGAACATCAAGGGATTGGCAAAAGCGTATAAATTAAATTTATCAAAGAAGAGGCAGACATGGAAAGGAAAGAAATCAGAGTCTTCACTGTTAAGGTCAATTTTGTTTTCACTTAGTAGAAGATGTGCCACAGTGAATGCAAGAGTTATAAAGGAGTTAAAAACTGGTGAGTTAGAGAGGACTAATAACTATAGGTGTAATAAAGCTTCCACTCATAGCCAAGGCTCTGAAACGCCTTCAGTGGCAGCTATCATCGTGATTTTGAATAACGTCCAGGTACACTAAAACGAAATAAACAACTGAGTTTTCCCAAAATCCACGGTACTCAGATCTGTAATTGATGATGAGCCACAGTTTTTGTCTGAACATCTTTAATAGTAATTAATAAATTTACTCTAATAATAATCTTGCTGGCAAAAAGCCCTTAAACATGACATTATTTACATAATTTCCTGCAACAAACAGCTGCATAGCCCTCCACTCTGGTCATAACTTCTCAGTTGTAGTGCTCCTGCACCCAAACATTCACAAATCTTAAGGCAATGCCTGGCATTTATGATACAAAGGAGATTATGGAAGAGGTGTGTCTCACAAGGGTGATTGGAAAACCAATATTATAACTGGGGTCCAGATTCTGCAGTCAGATCCATATTGGTGACCACTGGGATGCATTGTAGGATGGGGCTCATATTTACTGATAGCTTTTAATTAGCCTGCATAATTCATTTCCACATCTGTTTTCCTATAAACAAGCCACTAATTAGTTCTGTGAGTCAGTTAAAAAGTGTACCAATGTGCCAGAGAGTTTAAAGAGACACTGAAAATATTTTAAACTCAGTCAATTTAATTTTTAATTATTTTTAAAAGGAAAGCATGAAACACCCCTCCCCATTTTTGATTTCGTACTTTGAATACCGCTAATTTCAGAATACATAGCTGCAAGGTTGTGAGTGTGTCAAAGACTTGTGTCTCCAGAGAAAACCCACTTTGGCTTAAGACTTGTGATGTATTTTACTGCTTAGCTTTACTCAAGTGGTAGCTCTAGAAGCACTGATAGCACTTCTAAAACTTGATCACTCACCTGAAAAAGTCAAGTTAATAGCATAATTTTCTCAGTACTCCAGCCTCCTGGCCTAATGCAGGAAAGCAATACTTAGTTCCTGGGCCAGTCACCAATTATGATTGCTATGGAGAAGATGAGATGTTTCTGACTAGGATCAGAAAACAGGAATAGGTGTGAGACCCTCTCTTACCCCATCCACTGAGGGAAACGAGCAGAGCTCGCTACCTTCAAAATTGGGCCTGCTCGGACACAAGGGTGTCTGTGCCCTTGCACAGAGCTCTCCTGGGTGATCAGTTTAGTGCCTCCACAAGGACCTGGGTAAGGGAACGCCGACACTTCATGTAGACGACTTAGCCTTGGTCTGACTGCCACCCCTAATTTCCAAAATCTCATTCTGCTCAGACACAAGGGCAGAGCAACTGGGTCGGGTCTTTGCATGAGCAAAGATGAAACCTTGGTGTGTTCAGATGTGTTTGAAGTCAAAAATTAAACACTTCTAGAGCTCATTAAGCTTTTAAGTTCTTCCTAAGTCTTAGTTTTGTCTGACTAAATCCTTTATTGACTCCAACTGAAAGCCTTGGTGCTAGGCAGCTATCCTTCCTGTTTAACCTTGTGTCATTTGTGTCACTTGTAGCAACAGAAACTAAAATAATTAGGTCAATTTTTAAATGTGGACTTCTGCTTTCCAAGCTGGCTATCCCTTTAAAGATAAGAAAGAAGTCCCCCTGACTCCTCTCTGGTATAGTTGGTGCCTAATAGCTAAGCACAATAGCTCTCCACCCTCCTTGCTTTTTAAAATGAGGTTTACAGCACGCCAGCAATTTAAACTTCTGGTCTCCATTGGCGGGTCGGGATGGTTTTGGAGAACAGTCTATTTCTTCTGATTATTCCTTGCCACTGTGAGGGATTACAGCTGAGCACCAGCGGCTTCCCCCTCCCCACCCCCAAAGACGACCCAAACACACTCTCCTTGCAGATTACAGCGGAATCGCTAATGCAATTTTGGCCTGACTTTGATGCAGCACTCTATTGATGTGGGGTGACGCCGCAGCAAGGCAGCAAGGTTGAGCTCGGCAGTGATTAAGGCGAGTCCCTGGCTCAGGTGTGCCTTCCCCCGAGCGGCAGCGGGCGGAGCGGGCCCGGCTCCGAGCGCTCTGAGCGCCGAGCGCACCCCGCCAATGGAGGGCAGGATACACGTTCTGCTCTAGTTTCCTGTGCACCCCTCGGGAAAACAATCCTGGCCCGTTCAGCTGCTGAGCAGTCGGGTAATCAATCCGTCAATCAGTCAGGAAATCTGATTTTTGCAAGCATCACCTCGCCAGCCGGGAGGGGAGCACAGATCAGGGGTGCGGGTCCGCTGTCCCGGGGGGCCGCGTTCCTCTTCAGGCCGGGGGCGCTGACGAGAGCTCCCCGTGTCTCCTCTGGAAGCCTTGGGGCCACCTCTGATCGCCTTCTGGGAGGGCCAGGCAGGGAAGCTCTGGACCGGGCTTGACTGAAGAGCGGGTAGAGCATCAGTCCCGCCCGAGGCTCATCCCCCCTCCCTGGACGTGAGGCTGAGCCTCGGCAGCGGAGCTCCGGCTCGTCGGGCTCTGTCGGCTCTGCACATGCCAGGAGATCATGTATATTTTATGTATGTGTATATAACATATGTATTCATAAGCAAACAAACATCTGAGCCGGGGATCTTTAAAATGTTCCAGCTACAGTGCTACTACCTAAAGGAAAAAAAAAAAAAAAAAAGGAAGAATTTAATTTATCTTTTTTTCTCTCTAGGCATCTGGTTTACTCCGTGACTCTGATGCTTATCAACAACGCGTGAAGATTGCAGTAAGGATCCTCCCTGGAAGGCGAGGAGGAGCAACTTCCAGGGGGCTGGGAGGAGGTGGAGTGCAGCGCGGCTCTCGCCTATAAGGAGGTGCCCAGCGAGCGGCTGGTGCTTCCCACCCAGCCGCTGCTCGCAAGGTGAATCGCTGCGGCGGCAGTCGGGGCAGCGGGCTCGGCTCGGGCACTGCCGCCGGCGTCCGGAGCGGCTCCTCAAGGGCTGCCAAGAGTCCCCCGGCCGGCCCCGGCTTCCCTTCACCCGGAGTGCTTGGATGCTGTATGGAGTAAATGAGCGGAGGCAGAGCGAGCGCACAGAGGCTGAGAGGCGCTCGGAGACCGGGACCAGGGGAGACAGGCGGGCGGCTGGCTTCCCCCTCCGGGGCTGAAGATGGATTCCCGAGCCCTCGGGGGCTGCACTCTGCTGCTCTTCACTTTATGGCATCTGGGATTAACTGCAACAAATTGTGAGTAACGGGAGTGCGAGGAGTTGACTGGGCTTGGGTCGGGGGCGGGAGGAAGAGATGGGGAGTAACTCCCGGAAAAACGGGGCTATTGCGCCATGACCTCTGAGAAACTTAGCTCGGCTCCGCTTTGCTAATGGAGCTCAGAAATGCAAAGTTGGGGCCAGATGGAGGAACTGCTCTCCACCGTCCTGCTGGTGTGGATGTGGGAGCGGGAGACGCTGGAGCCTGCGAGGAGCCTCTCGGGGTTTTCCTCACGATTTGTTGTCCTTCCGCTGGCCGCATCTTTTTGCGGGCAGTGGTCGCTGTCGCCCTGCCTCGGCTGCGGCCACCGGCCGGGACGGGGCCGGGGTGGCCCCTCTGCCTGCTGGGGAGGGTCGGTCCTTCCCCCAAGGGCCGGGGGATGCCGCGATTTTGCGGGCGCAGCCTGGCGGAGCAGCGCCGGTGGCACTGAGCGTCTTCTCCTGGCCCGGCGGTACCGTCGGTTCCCTGGGCGCTTCCCACGGGCGCGGCTGTGTCCCGGGGCGTGGTGGTCGCCCTCCCTGCTGCCCCAGCATTTCCCAGCTGGGAAATCGCCGTTCGTTCTTTTTTTCCCCCGGGAGATCCGCTCCTAAGTTCGCCACGTATCTCCGCCGGCCCTGCGGGGTCGGTCCCCGCAGGCAGGAGCATCCCTGGCCGCCGGGCTTTGCGGTGCTCCGGCGGGCTGGCGGCGGCTCTACGGGCGCGCTTGGGCGAAGCCGGTGCAGCCGGGTGCCGGCGGTGCGGGAGTCCCGGCGGCCAGAGCAGGCGTTGATGCTCCCCGGGCTGCCTGCGGGGCTGGAGCGGGCTCGGTGCGGGGCTCGGCGCGGCCTCTCCCCGGCCCGTCGGGCGGAGCGGGCGGGCGGAGCGCGGCGGCCGCGAGAGGGCGCTGTTGCCCCGCCGGCGGCGCTGCCCCGGCCGAGCCCCGCGGGCAGCGCTGTCCGTCCGTCCGTCCGCCCCCTCCCAGCAGCACGGCCCGGCCTCTTTCTTCTCTTTTCCTATATATGTATTTTCCTCCTCTATCTTCTTTAATTTCCAGCCAATTAAATCACGGTTAATATGTTTTAATATCGCTCGCGAATACTAAATGGTAGGCGATTTAAGGCTGAGGCTTGCCATTACGGATGCGGCCATAAAGTTAATTCCTAACACTTAAAAAGAAACTCTGCGTTAATGAGTTTTACTATTTCACGGGTGACAGTTTAATTTCACAGTGCCAATAAACATTTCCATTGAATACGCGCTGCTTCCTAAATATTTAGGAGTCAATCTTAAAGCATGATGATCAATGGTTTTATTATACTGTACAGATTTTACTTATTCATTGAGCAATGAATTAGCATGGAATCAGCTGTAAGTGCTTTCCCAGGAGCTGAGGGAAGGAGCGTGTGAATCTGTAATAGCTGCAAGTTCCCTAGAAACCTCGTTAGATTCGCATGTGAAGATCTATGTGTGCTCGCACAGACCTCAATAATTGCACCCGGTATGAAAATTCATCACCTGCTTAAATAAATCATCTCCTTATGTTGGAGCTCAGGGAGGCTGTGCACTCTTCCTCAGTTTTTGGCCAAGAAAGCTTATATGTGGGCTAAAATATTGAAGCAGTATCCTGAAATATATTCAGGTAGCTCTATGAAAGTGCTATAGCTTTATAGGGTTACTGAGCTTCCAGGTACCCAGTAACCAAAGGAAATAACAGAATTCCACATGTGAGAAGCCTCGGTGCAGGCGACTGTCAGAAGCTTCTACTTGAAAGCCCAGGTGCAAATGGGAAAGGATGGTGCAGAACCCTCCTCAATTTGAATACTTTGGCCAAAGGAGTTGCTTTCAGATGCCAGTAGTGTATGCTCACAATGACTTCAGCAGGTTTGTTTCTAACAGATTTGTGAACAAGAACAAAACTGAGGACAGTATTTATAGTTGAAAAGGACTATGCTTGGGGCTGGGGGGGAGAGTGCAGCTCATTTAATTTTCTTCATGATATCTAATATGTCTTTAATCTAATTTTTTTGCCCTTCTAAATTATAAAACTCTTACAAATTATTATTTTCTCACTTATTTAATTTGCTGTAAAATTAAAGTCCTGAGTAAGTAAAAATCTTCTCTGCCACTGAGATATTTGATTCTAATTTTCTCTTTGGTAATAGTTTTTAATTAAAGAAAGAATTGGTGAAGAAACTGCTTTGAAACACAGCTACAGGCTAGGGGTCAGTAGACATCATTAGAAAGATCAGAATTGCCAAATGCTAATAAAACATTAGAAATTCCTCCCACTTTGCATTTTGCAATATTTTATTAAATTAGGTAAATAGAGTGGCAATCGGATTTCTCCCCAGGATACTAATTACTGGAAAATGAATAAATAGCCATGTACGTAACAGTGAAAATGTGTTGCATATGATGTCTGGGAGAACTGAAACTTCAACATTTATCAGATAGACAAGGAGACACAAAGCCTTGCCTGCTATATAACAAATTAGCTGCCCTTTAGCAGCATATTCTGTGATCTGAAAACACTAGTAGCTTTGGTGAGTCTAGACTTGTTGAGCCCCATTTATTTTTCCCTCTTTCATTTTGAAGTTGGAAGGAGGGAGCAGTAGTTAAAAAATGAAAGGAGCTATGAACTCATGTTCTTCTGAAGCACTTTTTTATATCAGTTCAGGGATAGTGTGCAGCTGCAGAAAAGAATTGCAGGAGCCATAAGTGATCTTCCACCCAGTTTAGTGTTGTGTATCTTTAAAAATGTCCTCTATTGCTATTTTACACCTTATGCTTCCCTCCGCCTTACTTGTATCTTTCTTGACTGACTTTTCACACATGGCCTGAAAAGATGCAGCAGATTAAAACACCTCCTGGTCAAGTAGCACCTTTTAACTTCCGTTGCAAAAGTTATTCTCAATTATTGCATGTTTCTGTTCCAGAACACAGCTGCCTCTGCCGCCTGCAGTATCGCTAACATTTATTATCCCTTTTCACCAGCACTTCTAGCTGATCAGGAGACTTTCAAGACTTTTACTTAAGCCCAGTCATAAGTGTCAGTCAAAGCTGCAGAAATTCAGTACGTGCTAGAATGAGATCTTCAAATTCAATGTGTAGCAGAATGAGATTTTCTACTCTTGCAGAAATGTATGGTCAATGTACAGTCCATTACTCTACAGTGTATTTCCTTGTGGGCTTACAGGACACACCTGGCTTTAATAATTCTGTTCAGTTAAAAATAGGCAATGTGTCTGGTTTTTTTATTTTGAAAAAATACTGAAGTAAATTTAAATTTTTTTACATGCAAGTTATATATATTATATGTTTATTTATTTATTTTGGGCAACCAGGGTTCAGTCTCATTTTAGCCTTCCTTTCTCTGCTAATAATTGCACAGGAGTCAGCCAAGTGTAAGTGAAAACTTACGGGAGCAAATCTGACTGGATATTTGAGGCCATCAAGATCAGGAGGGTGTGTTTGGGATTTGTGTAACAGCACAAATGAGACCTGTTGAGTCAACTGTGGCAAAGGCAAGAGGTCTCTTAAACAGTGACCTTTCTATCCGTGTGGTCAGAAATGCTAAGTTTGAAAAGCTGTGCTGAGATAAGGTGGAGTATTGATCGCTGGTTTGTGCCTTGTGTGCTTGCAGGCTGAGTAAAGAGCATCAGACAAATCTCAGGCTTTTCCTCTGCCTCCACTACTTAAATATTCTTAACAAGAGAATAATATTCAGACATGCCTTCCTCCTTTTAGTTTCATATGGGGGAGAGGGAGAACACAAATATTAGCTTTTTCATGCCTTCACATGTATCAATGGAGAAATAGTCCAAAGCAATGAGATTTCCCGAGAGAAAAGCTGTGAATGACCCACAGCTGGTGGGTGCATCCTTTGCATACCTGTCAGTATCTAGCTTTCAATCCCTTTGACTCAATCAGCTCTCCTTGGCTGTGAATCAGTCTCAAGATGGTCATTGCCTGGACTACAAAGATCTTTGGATTCTGCATCCACCAGGCAGATGGCTTTACCAGCTACAGGAATCCATCCAGGGTTATTATCTCAGCACAAAATACATTATCTGCTTGGGCATTTTCTTTTTCTTCTTTTTCTCTTAATGTCATGCAAGTGCAGCAGGTTTTTCCTTATAAATTAACAGCAAGAACAATTTGTTTTCAAATGTGCTTGGTACATTTGTACAAAGTATAGACTTCAAGTGTAAAATATGGTGGGAAGAACAACCTACTTGTGAAGCTCTCCCTGCACATGGCATGCACAGGCTTCTGCCAGCACTCCAGTCCATGTAGGGCTAGTCAAGTGTTTTTTTAAGTACTGTAATCATTCTTTTACCAATGGGAAACTGAAGTTGTGTATATAAACAAGAGATGAATGTACAATCACTGTGAAAATCTAAGTAGCTAAAATAAAGTCTTAGGGGTCAATTGAGTTGATCCCATCTGGCATGGTTGTGTCCCATTCTCTGTTAATTCATATTCATATTTGCTATATGTAGTATCTAAATCCATAACCACTCCTCATTTCCTCTTCCCCTCCTTCTCCTTTCTCTGCTGCTATTTGAAGCAAGTGGAGTTTGGATATCTGAATACTGAAATGAATAGAAATCCAAAGCCAGTGGGAGTGTGAGGTAGCATTTATTTATTTTTAGCCCCCAAAATGGATTTTCTGTAGATGTGACAGGTTTCAGCTCTATTGGCAAACTTGAATTACAGTCTTACCTACCCCCTCCTCTGAAAGAGACACAAGAAGGGGAGAAAGAGAGGACTGAAGGTGTATGTGCCAGCTCACACGTGCCAGGCTCTGTCTCCTTCCCCTTTGCCTGCCAGCCTCCCCCAGTCCTACCAAGTTCCAGGGCTGTCTGTACAGGGCACCAGGTAACCTGCTGTGCTGCTTTTTTTTAAATTTATTTTTTGATAATAATACTAATAAAGAACTCTTATGTTTTTCCACTCTCAGAATTAGGAGAATGATATTCTGGTTCTGTAGCATCTAT